TTATTAGACTGTACTGTATAAAGAGACCCACTTAATCATGTTTTTCCTTTTATTATAAAAATATTGTATTAAAAGAAAACACAATCACTCCTTCCCCATTAGTTGAACTGTTCTCAGTGAAAATGAGACAATGAAGATTGAATTTTCTCATTTGAACTGAAGAAAAGTTGTGTGAATATAGCTTTTTAGCCCCCAGCTACCTCTATGAACCGTAGGGGGCTTTTGATGAAGATGGCTCGCTAACAACCCGAGAAAAGCACGTTTATTTTGCCTAATACTGAGTCATCTAAATGAATTATCTAAAACAATTTACTCCCCACCCCGTGTCGTACAGGAGACAGAACAACACAACACAAACTCATTAATGCATGTAGGCTGATTATACATTTCAACCCTGGCAGCACCTGAACTACTCAATTAACAATTACAAACAAGCAATTCACTCAAGGACTGGAAAGCTGACCCTATTGTTGGTCTGAAAAGAAACTCGTTCTTGTGTCTTCTCCACTACTGAGTGGAGTGACTTTCACACAGTATAGACATTTTAAACGAACTAAGAGTTACCTACCAACCAAAGATGTAACTAACATAATTTTACCTCATTCAAAAATATGATCTATTATATACTTGATGTGCAATACTCCAATATCGGAGACAATAAAATATATATCTTTTATTTTGTAATCTATTTTTAAAAGGCATGACTGGCAACTGGGACTACAAAGCTCACTGAATGCTCTATGTATTTATTTATTTATTTTAGTATTTCAGTTTATTTGTGATATGAATGGCTGTAAATATTGTCTATTGTCTTTGTGGTAACATAAGGTTCAAATTTCCATATAGTGACAATAAATATAATTTGTATTCTGTGAATTATATTTTAAAAACCAACTGGGACTACAAAAGACAGATTTCAACAAATGAAACACACACCAGCTTCTTCTTGAGGACCAAATTGCTTCGAAACATTCTTCATCCTAAACAAATAAAAACGTAAAGCAATACAATCAGCATTGAAACCAGTTCTTATTATTTTAACCAGAACTTCGAGAACTCTTTATTGGATCGTGTCGCAGTAGTTCATGGCATTATGAATATTAGTGGCAGACAGGGGACACAGAGCTCCGACTAGGTGTGACTTTTGGCGGTGGTGGCTGGGAGATCATCCAATGGGCACCTGCTGCTGCTGCCACCAGCGTCTGTGCGGAGAGAACAAAAGGGGCCATTGAGCACATAACAGCTGTTGCGCTGTTGCCTGCCTGAGGGCCCCCCGGCCCCCAGGGTCTGTCTGCTGGGGGAAGACCCCTCCTCCTCTTCAACATTGACCTCCATACAGCTCTTTTAAGAGACTGCATGGTAGCCATCCTGCTGCCACATTGTTAAATACAGACCAGTGACGTGGGACTCCATTCACTGTCAACCGCAGTAAGGTTAAGAGCTTAGCATGAGGGACACAAAGCTTGGAGTCAATCGTTCAGGTTGAGAAGCTTTCATGTACCTCTTCTCCAAACCCCTTTTAATAATAATAATAATAATAATTCCTTACATTTATATAGCGCGTTTCTGGGCACTCAAAAGCGCTTTACATAGAAGGGGGAATCTCCTCAACCACCACCAGTGTGCAGCATCCACCTGGATGATGCTTTTGTTATCAACTGCTTAATCTGCCATTAAAAATGAGGTTTTCGTCATTGCCTCGGTCTACATTGTACGATCCACAATGGTCATTGTTTGAGAATCGTATGTATTGAAACAATGTACGCATGTAATGCTTCATTGAAATAATGCAAAGCATGTTCAGCAGTTTGCCATTTTCAATAACTGAAATAAATCCAAAACCAAAATCGCCTTAAGCAGATTCCAGTCACCAGCACAGCACCCAAACACTGCCAGACCAAGGCAGCAGAGCGATTGTCAGTGTGCTATGTAATGAATTACCCTTGTCTCAGCAGCAGCTGTTGAGGAGCTCACAGACCTCAAGTCCAGCCTTCTGATCGTGACAGACAAAGCATCACACTGACATCTAGTGGATCATGTCCTAGGTCTCTCTGTAACACTCGTTCTCAGACTGCAAGCAGAGGGCACTGTGTATGTAGATGCACGAGCGAGACAGCCATTACAGGCCCTGTTCACCATTTTGTGACGTTTGATAGATCTCATACGTGATGCAGCACTTCGGTGCATCTGCTATTTTTGACTCATGCTGTAAAACGTCCTGCAAGTGCACATGTTTTTTGTTTCCAATCTGCATGGATTGCGCTTTAATAATCAGATCAACTTAGATATAAGGCTGTTCATAATTCAATTATTCCAGTTCCATTAACAACCAAATTAGGCTGCTTCTTTACATGTACGTCAAATTACACATGCTTGAGTTTTTCGCATTAAGTTTAATGCAGCGCACTACAGGGTTTAGCCTTGTTGGGAAATTAAAAATAGTTGCCAACTAAATGATTTTTTTTGGGGCAATGCCTTAATTTCGACAGTTGCTCATCTGTCTTGTTTCACTGACAAATTTAGAATTGTTAAACAAAAACATTGTTTTTTTTGTTTGTTTTTTTTTTGTTTTGTTTTTTTTAAGTAAAATGTTATTGTAAATATACCAAAAACTTAATGAAATTAAATATATAGTGCACAAGATATTTTATGTTAAAAAAATTTAAAATAGTCACAATTAGTAGTAATTTATACAAATTAAGAAACAAATCAGCATGGTTTACGTAAAAACTGTGAGACAGTGGCTTTATTTAGACATATGATATAGAGAAATGTAGCAGCATCTTGTTTAAAAACAAACCTATAAAAAGTGAATGGTCAAATTTGGTTACAAACACTTGGGAAGCGACCAGAGGAAAATCTTAAATATAAAATCCGAGTCCTAGCTTCTGAAGCTGGTGATTTCTCTGGTCCTTTCTGGCACTGGAGACTCGAGTCCCCATGACAACCTGTCAGGATTTTGCTGGTCCAAATGGCAACCTGAGCCACAGAGACCCATGCCCATATTTGTGTGGGGATCTCTGTGGTCATCTTTCCATCTGCTCCAGTCCCACCCTCTTTTAGCAGCAATCAGAGCCAGTAGCAGCTCTGAGATTTTGGCAGGTAGTCTACATTTGTAAACTAACAAAAGTAAAATAAAAATAAAAACACCAAACCTTTGGACCATTAAAACAAAAAAGTTAAGTATTTCATGTCTTTCAAGTCTCCCATTAAGACCAAAAAAAAAGAGGTATAGGACTTTTTGGTCTTTAGTCTTATGCAGACGCATGTGAATTGATGCTTGGGTTCAAGCTGTAATGCCATTGATTTGTTGATTTTCATTTAAATTCATCAGTCAGGGTCGTGTCCTATTCCATACATTAACGAAGTCAGGAGACCGTGCTCTCGGGCTTCTCACTGCTGGGTGGTGGTGTGAGCACTCCAGAGGGAACTGGAGACCTCTGACTGCTCTCAATGTCCACTAGCTGATACGAGTGCACCCTTCCCTGAAAATAAGACAAGAAACAAGAAAACTTTAGGCCAGAGGAAGTGAAAGAAACAAATGTTGCAGCTGGGGGAAATGTATGCAAAATTCTGTAGTGAGAACAAGATAGATGCTACTGTTTAAGCCCAATTTTTGTTTGTACATGAATACACGCACAAAAATTATATACACTAATAAACTGGGACTAAAATTCAATTTAAGACAAACTAAACAAAAAGAAGAAGTTTAGAACAAAGTAAACTTACCAGCCATTCCAAGTAAGGCACATGGGTCTGGATATTGTGCATATCATCTGCTGCGACTCCTTTGAATGTCTTGAGGGATGAGCTGCCTGCTTCACGGATTGACATGGCGAAAGGGACCATCCATCTCACACACTCCTCCAAGTCACACCACTTCAGCCCTGAAACCAAATAAATCAAAGGTCACTTCCAATTCCTCAAGTCAATTGTGACGTAAATGCTCAGATAAATAGAGCCGTTGAGAAGAAATGCACACAAAAATCATACCTGAAACTTTCATCACTAGCTCTAGAGAAGAGAAGTGGAAGAGTGCAGAAGCTGCGAGAAGACCATAAGAGAACTCCAGACTTCTTACAGCCAGTATACACAGATCCAAAAGCTAATAAATAAAGACAAAGCTACAATAAGTAAATCATAAAAGAAAGAGACATCCACAACACAAGGTTATAAACACAAGTCTGTGATTTTTTTTTACTGGATAGTTAAACAGGTTTACATAAAATAAGTCAATTTTTTATTTTTTTTTGCAAACATGGTAACATTTCTGCTGTAGGTTCACAACTTTCAAGTTTCAACCTACAAGCCCTTTAAAGAAAAACTAACAAAATACCTTGGAATTTCAGTGTGTAGTTCACAATAGAGGTCTGCATTCCCACGGCTCTCCCGCGGGAACGACCAGATTTTTTGCACCGTGGGATTAAATTCCCAAACAAAACGCAGTAGCGGTCGGTAACTGTGGTGTAATTTGAACGGGAGCAGGTGGTCTAACAATATCCCGTTCCCGACATCCATTCAGAACAGCATATCTGCGC